CTTATGCGAGCTTTTCTCTCCTCTTGTGAGTCTTTCTAACCATCGTGTGAGTGGTCTTTGGTTTTGTTGCTAACGGCCCTAGTTGTGGCTAGGGTCGATGACAGTCCCATATTTTTCCTCTATCTTCATTTTTTCATTGCTTTTCCTATTGCATGCAATTTTCCTTGTCCCTACCCATCATAATTTCCTCCCCCTTTCCTCTGCTTGCCTTTGATTTCACCAATTTGAGCCTTAATCCCCAATCCTTTATTCCTCCATCCTCCTCGATCCATACCTCTTCATCATTTGTATCATTTGGCTTTATCGTCTTTCTGCCCTCCTCAAATTTGTTCAGGTACAGCCTATGTTCACTGTTCTTTGGCGCTGACCTATGGGAGGGTGGGTAGAGCTTTGGCTAGGCTGTTCACACCACCACCTTTGTTGGTCCTTCCCAGTGTTTGCCCTTGTTGGCAATGTTGCTCGTGGGATCTCTTTTCCCACGTGCTTTCGCGGCGGCGATCAATTTGCTGCTCCTTGGAGAATGATACAGCTTTTTTCTTCCTCAATTTTGGGTTTCTTGCTGGTGTGATCTCAAGTGCTGGGGTAACGGTTTGTGTTGATCGTTGTGTGAATTCCTGATGCCAACGACTGCAACTTCAGGAGCCCTAGTTTAGGGTTTTGTTTCTGTTGCCTAGTCTTAAAGACTGGCTTGGGCTTTGTCTTATATGTTTTTGCAGACCATCTTTTTCTTTTGTGCTTTGTATTTGGGCCTCTGTTCTGCTTGCTCTTTATTGGTAATGTAATTTACCCTTTGTCCAAAAAAAAAAAAAAAGGTTTCTTTCCGACTGTAGAACTCAACTAAAATCCAAAGAAATACAGGAAAAAAGTTCATACAAATTCATAAAAATCTATAATATACATCTGCCAACATTGGTATAGAAATATAGAATCTATTAAAATCCTCTTAAATATGTGACTTAAAAAATGTGTATTAAAATTCTCTAAAAATCAAAGGGGTGTGATGTCCACACATCTTTTTAATTTTTGATCGTCGGATTGAATAAATTAAAGAAGATAAACAAGTAAGAAGTAAACACATAGAAATCGATTACACCCCTGAACTTTGAAATAATGAGATATTTGGGAAGTGCGGTGGGTAAGATCGATGATGGCTTAGAAATGGACTACACACGTCAAGGCTCTGCACCTACAAATTGCACTTATTCACTGAAGAACTAGGAAAATCAGCAATATTAGTGGAGGATGGATTACACCATAATGTTGTACGTTTTACAAATTTTGTGGTTTTTCCGTCAGCATTCCAACTGGCAACTAGGGAGTGGACATCCCGCAGGCCTCCCTAAAAAAAATTAGTGGTTTGCTAATTGCTCTGCAACTTCTGAGTGTACGATGCTGATTTTTTATTAATGGCCTAATTTTGTTGTGTATATATAGATAATCGATCTGGTTTTGAGTTGTATAGAGTAAAACATACGTAAGTCCATCTGGTTTCGAAAACATGCAGATGCAGGAATCAACAGTGTCAGCTATACTACTGGTGTTACTCCTCTTTGTTCTTCATCTTCAATCAGGGGTTCACTCGCTAGCCCCTCCTCATGCTCACTATAAATTACACCACCGACGTTTGAAAACCAAGAGTGAATAGATTTTAGTTACTTCATGTATTTATACTTCGAAAATCTTCATCTCTTCACATTATGCAGATTTTGGTTACTTGAAATTTGTGTACAATGCTACTGATCTTCCGTTAGGAAAAAAATACGACTTCATTGTAGTTGGAGGGGGCACATCAGGGTGTCCATCGGCAGCAACTTTATCTGCAAAATACTCAGTGCTCGTTCTAGAAGGGGGCAGCCTTCCTACAGCATATCCGAACTTATTGAATCAAGATGGGTTTCTATACAATCTCCAGCAAGAAGATGATGGAAAGACACCGGTTCAAAGGATCATGTCTGAAGATGGCATTCCTACCGTAAGAGGCAGGATCATAGGGGGCATGAGCATGATCAACGCCGGCGTCCATGCTCGAGCTAACATATCATTCTATAATGAGTCAGGAATTGAATGGGACATGGATTTGGTTAATAAGACATATAAGTGGGTTGAAAACACTATTGTGGGTAGGCCAAATAATTCGGTCAGTGGTTGGCAATCTGTTGCGCAAAAAGTATTTTTGGAGGCTGGTGGATATGATCCAAACAACGGATTCGTTTTAGATCACATAGAAGGAACTAGATTTACAGGTTCAACTTTTGACAATAATGGAACGAGACATGAGCTGATGAACTGCTTAATAAAGGAGACCCAAACAACTTGCGAGTTGCAGTTCATGGCACAGTAGAGAAGATCATCTTCTCAACGTAAATCAACAAGTATGTTGCATTTTGTATTATTTAAAAAGGGACACCAAAATTAATATTTATCATCTTAAAACATTAACAAAGGGAGTGTAGGGTTAGACACTCCAAGTGCAAATACAATATCTCTATATTCGTTCGAGTATTGATTATAAGCTTTTCCTTGATGCAGATTTGTCAGCTACAGGAGTTATATATAGGGATTCTAATGGGAGGTCTCATCGGGCACTTGTACACGATAAGGAGAAGTTATATTAAGTTCTGGGACAATTGGGTCTCCTCAACTTCTTTTACTTGGTGGTATTGGCCCAAAATCTTACCTATCATCTCTAAAAGTCCCAGTTGTTCTTGATCTTCCCGATGTTGGGCAGTTTATGTATGACAACCCTTGCAATTTCATTAACATTTTGACCCCAAATGATCCATTGGAGCCCTCTATTGTGACGAGTCTAGCCATTACAAACAATTTCTACCAATGTTCTATCTCGCTCCTGCCGTATACGACTCCGGCTTACAGCCTTTTTCCTAGTTCTTCTTATCCCCTTCCAAATTCGACTTTTGCTCACTTTCCTAGCAAAGTTCCAGGACCTTTGCTCATGGTTCTCTCACGCTGAATTCATCTTTTGATGTCACAATCCCTCCAAATGTCAAATTGAACTACTTTTCAGATTCGATGGACCTTGCTAATTGTGTAGCCAGTATGAAAAGTATAGGCAATGTTTTAAGGACAGAAACTTTAAAACCATATAAAGTATGGCAAACGGAGGGTATAGAAGGTTTCAAGTTTTTGGGACAACCTTTGCCAAACAACCGTACAGATGATGCATCCTTCGAGAAATTCTGTAAAGATACAGTGGCATCGTATTGGCATTACCACGGCGGATGCCTTGTTGGGAAGGTGGTTGATGGCGGTTTGCGTGTTAAGGGAATCAACGCATTACGTGTTGTTGATTCGTCCACATTCCCTACCGCACCGGCGAGCCACCCTCAGGGCTTCTATTTGATGTTGGGCAGGTATGTGTGTGCGTGTGTGTGATACATACTTACTACCAACCACTATAATTCTTAGTAACTATGTTGTTGAATGGCAGATATATATGGGCATTAAAATTCTACGAGAAAGATCAGACTGATCAGCTATGAAGGAAGCCAATTATTTCAGCAATTTCATTTATGTAATAAACTCACGAGTTCTTACTCAAGTGAGATTAGCGTTAAGGTGGCAGGAAGGGTTAGGCTCTTTCTCTGCCCCCTTGCAAGGGTAGGTGTACCTCAATAAAACATTCGGTGTTCAATAGAACTTTGCAATACCAATGTATCTGAAAATAATATGATGCAGTGTATTCAATAATAATATGATACGCTCTAGCATCTAATCAGATTTATATTTTACTTATTTATATCACGTTCAACCGTAGAGATATATAATTTACATATATATAATGCATATATATATATATATATATATATCTTTAATATTAGAAAATCAGAATAAGAGTTTGGTGTCTCAAAGCTTCACCAAAAAAAATTGAACTATAAAACCCCTCAAACAAAAAAATCCACTATTAGCTGAAAATAATAGAAACAAAATAACAGGGACACTTTTATCAAAAACAAAAAAGAAAAATATGTTAAACAAAAAGAGAATTAAAAATTAGAAAAAAGAAAAATAAAAAGAAAAAAGAAGATAAAAACCCACGACCCCCTTCTTCTTCCGCTTCGTCTCTCTAACCGCTCCCACGTTTTCCTCAATACAACCACTCCACTTACTTCAGTTTCATTAAAACCGGCCATATATAAACATATTAAGAGGGAAAAACAGGATTGAAAAAAAAAAAAAAGAGAAAAGAAGCGAAGCGACCAAATAGTTCATTTGGATCTTACGCAGAAACGACGAAGAAAAAGAAAGAAAAAAATCAATAATTCCTCTTCTTCCTTCTGTTCAGTGCTCTTAGGGACTGGGGGTATTCCAATCACTGGATAAATAGTTCCAGTGGCCAAACCTTTTGCAAAAAACCCACGAATTCTCGTTCATTTACGCGATATACCAAGTTTAACGGATTCTGAGAAGGCCTCTTTAATACTCCGGTGGTCTCTGGGTCTCCTTCTCCCTATCCTTGCTTTCTTTTCACTATCGCTTTTGCTACTTTATTTATAAGAGAGTGTGCTTGAACTAATTTTTTATTATATTATTTGTCTAGTGTGTGTGTGTGTGTGTGTGTGTGTGTGTGTGTGTGTCTCGTTGTTTATTGTTTGAAGGCGTAATGCATGTTAAACGTGGTACACAAGACACACGAAGAGATGTTTGATGATTGCATTGCTTCTTTGATGGTGCAAGGGCAGACGGGTGTGATTTTTGCCTTGCCTTAGTGGTTGCGGTTCAGACTTGTTATTTTATTCTTTTTTTTGGTAACCAGCTGACTCGTAAACAGCGGCGGAACCAATGTGTAGGCATTGACTGTAAGTGACCCCAATAATTTAGATAATTCTCCTTAGAAATTTTATTTGATCCCATAAAATGAAATTAGGAGACCTTTAATGAATATTTTTTTTAATTGACACAAATCAAAATTACATCATTTGTGTTCTGTTCACTTACAAAAAAAAAATTAGCATGCTATAACTTATCAAACACGGCCTTTTCCACACCAAGATTTGTATCTCCCCACGTCAGACTTCATATCTCACAAATCCAAGCTTTTTTGTTGTTCAAGTTTGATCAAGCACCTTCCATCGTACTTCATTGTATTACGGATTCAATCATATCGGTATTTTTCTCATCTTAGGTTTACATGTGCTTTTAGATTTTTTTTTTTGTTTTTTTTTTTGTTTTTGTTTTTGTTTTGATTGATGGATTGGGAATGAAAGTTTTGCAAAAAAAAAAAAAAAAGAAATTAGGAATTGGCGTTAGGCTTTTGGCTAAGGTTAGCTTTTGTGTGTTGCGGTTCAGACTCGTTATTTATTCTTTTTTTGGCAACCAGCTGACTTAGAGGGGGTTGATCATAATCTCCAAGACGCCATCAATACAGAGCGGCTGTGGTTCAATAAGCCGACTTGGCCTGCAAGGGCAGAGAAATTAACAACTCCTCTAAACCCTAAGCCCAATATACACCTTGACACGGTGAAAGGTGGCACCTTTCAGCCCGCCACTACGTGGCACACCTCCCAACACATGAGGTATATCCATGTTAAGTTATTATTTCACTTTAAAATACTCATCCAAGTAAATTGTTCAGGTGGTCTTGTGTTTCGAATTCGTATATTTTTACCTCTTTAGTGTACGATTAAAATAAATAAAAATACAATTGAGATAAAGTGCATATGAATTTTTTAAAATCAAGATAACTTACTTGTCATTTGAATAAAACGTTTCAAGATTAATTTAGTAAGATATTACTTTTCGCTTTAACCTGCTGCATTTAGAATTCAAACTCTTACTTTTCTCTAAATATAGAAGAGTATAAGTAGTAGAAAAATGCAAATACTTAGCACATAATAGCTGTAAACTCGCATATTATTGATTAGTTTATTACAACAAAAAAGTCAAAATATATACCAACACACCCCTGCACAAAATAACTAAATCTGGAATAAACCTCTCAACTCATCAACATCCACTCAAAACTATCGTCCATCCTCAAAAAAAAAAAAAAAAGAAATAAAGAAAAATCCTTAAGCCTACAACTCCTTAAGCTAATGAACTAGTTAAGATCAGCACTTAGCAGCCATCTTTTCTGTAACTTTAGCTAATGACTTGAGATTACAGCCGATAATCGTATTAGCAAACAAACAAGTATCTTCCTTGCTACTTCCGGCGGGAATATCCACCACGTACGACTGAACCACAACCGTCTTATTCTTCCTTCCCTTTTCTTCTTCCTCTTTATGCACCGTAGTGGTAGAACTGTAATTTGCAAGCCTGTGGTCTCCACCGAGAATGCTATAATGCATGACGTGCATGTCGTCGTCGAGCTTGTCCAGCCTCTCCATGCTGTTTTTCGCCGGCAGCCCTGACATAATAACGACCTCTCGAATGCTCCCTATGCCTCCGTTCCCCGCCCGCATGCTGCAGCTCTTAACGAATTGCTTGTAAGCTTGCGGGTTGTCGAACTGGCGGAGGACGGACCAGACTGGGGTTAGCGGTGCGTCGACGGTTTGGACGAGTCTCGAGCCGCACTGGTTTGGCAAAAGATCGTGGGTATGGTAGGTGTCTATCATGACTTGAGTTTTGCTTACAGGGCTTATATTTTGGGACGTTGGGTGGTACGCCATTTCTAGGTTTTTTTTTTCTTTTTCTTTTCAGGTGTTGGGAGTTTGGGGACAATGGTTTAGGGTTACCCTATGTATACAGGGGTGGTGGAATTGCATGGAAGGGCAAAAGATAGAGAAATTTTTTTATTTTTTTATTTTTTTAAGGTTGTTTCTTTAAAAGACAAAAAATGTTTGGATTTTTATGAAGGAGGTTTTGGGACTTGAGCTTTTGATCTTGTGCTTGACTGTTAGGATAATGGTTGCCATTGGAGGGCAGTGGTTTGGTCACGTGCTCTTTCACGTGATAGTTTCTTGTTTGTATTGTTGGAGTTTCTTATTGTGGAGGTTTACTCCAAAATGTCGGACTAAAATAATAGTTTCCATTTGTTAAGGCACTAGGTAGTTACTCTTTTAAAGTTTTGTGTACAAGTGGATGTGGACCATATCTTGACATGTCACCAAAGATAACACTTGCGCCCACGTGGACCATATCATCACAAGTCAGCAAAGTTGGGATAATACTGACTCAGGAAATAACCAGTTGCTTCTAACCTCAGTATCGCCAAATATATCAACACGTTAGAGCATGGTGTGGGCAATTGAGTAAATAAACTCATTTTGACGAACCAAGATGGCAAAAACTAGTTCTAATGATATAGGCAATGTTGCCTACAATACCATGAGTAGACGAATAAGGCCCACATTTCTTGTTACAGTATAATTTTATATACTTTAATTGCCTATACCATTGGAAATGCTCTTATAATCTAACTACATATTCCCTGTATTGTTGATGCTATCCATGCTTGAATGTACCCATGCGTTCGATAATGAAGATTAACTGATTGTGTACACGTTCGGATAAACACGTGTTGAGACTGCCTAATCTAAAATTTCCCAGTTGAGACCGCCTAATCTAAAATTACCTAGCAAAGAGCATGCCTATATTTGTTTTTTAAGACACCCTTCTAGCAGCCACTGTTCTAAAAATCTGCGCCTAGCGTCCCGATTAATGTTTAGGCATTTGAAAATTAAGAAATGGCGCCTAAACCTGGTGCCCGCCTAGACGGCCTAGCCTGCCCAGACCCGCCTAAGCACCCACCGAAGTTATGACTCACTTAAACAGAAAATAGGTAACTTTCATTTTGCATTTTTTTTTTCAATAAATTGTAAGAGACTTGAACACTAAAATGAACACACATTATATGTCTGTTCCTCGTGTTTTCATTACGTTCAAATACTTCATAGTATATATGTCATTCTATTTTGTAGTTTATGATGAAATTATATATATATATATGCATATATTATGTATAAACTGACACTTATTTACACAAAATATAATAGATTTACTTAAATCCACCTAGGCGCTAGGCCCCAACCTACCGTCCGACTAGTCCAACTAGTGTCTAACGCCTTTTAGAACCTTACTAGCAGCACGGGATGTGTACCAGCTTTCATTGTTATTTACCCGTATTATTTTTCTATGAAAATTCATTTGGGGCAAATCAAATCCTCGTTGGTGAAATAATTTGAAATCCTGTTTGACCCAATCTGAGCCTGGACAAACAAGCAGACATGTTAACAAACATAAGTCCAACTTCTGGGCCCAAATCAAACAGGCTTGGACACAATAGGGTTACGGCCTACTCTACGACAGCTGGCACAAGCAAGCCACAATTGGAATGAGAATGACCAACCTGATTGCCTGAACTGTTGTCCCGTTTTGTGCACAGGATTCAATCGGAATCTAAACAAGTAGATTCAAAGTACGTTGAAGGAAGAAATGAAAAAAATGGTGTCCAACTTTTATCGATTCCAATCCCCAAAACGGTAGGAAAAGACGGGATAAGTTTCCTTCAGTACCAATCACCTCATTATTTCCCCAAAATGAAAATCATTCACCTCTACCTGCGATATACCTCAAACTTTTATGAGTTGTCCAATCCGTTCCAATTCTGAGCAACAAACGAGTCGCGGGTTCAAGAACAAAAGAAAATTTGAAATATGAAAATAAAATGCACCACGCCAGAGATTGAACCAGTCTAACGAAAAAAATTCATCGGAAAACTGCTGAAATGCTGCATGATTCACACCCACACGCATCCAAGAACAAACTAGATTATAATCGTTCTTCCATTCTATAAACAAATCAAGGACTTTTACCTTGCTCGTCTCTCGGACGCGCACAAGCACACTTAGCTAGTTTGTTTCTACTGATGAGGCCATGAAAGGCTTACAAATCCTTCCCATGCCTCAACATTTCTAGTCAGTAAGTAATCAACAGCTTCCACTTCAAGCAACAAACAAACTCTAAGCTGATAGTGTCAACTATGTATATGCATACCAAATCGGAAATATCAGATCATAAAAAAGCATGGAGGACGGCAAGGCTCTGACCTGCAATCCGCTACGAGTACCAATCACAATGTCTATCACTCGCATCTTGCACAACAAACCACAAAATTATATCACAAACACTAAACCACAACAGGTGATTATCCGAGAATAGCGATAACCGCAATCAAGAATGCAATGCAGGTAAAGATTGACGGGTCTGCATTTTATCAAGCAAACATAAAGTTTCTTGCTTTATTAAATCTTCTATTCAAGTTCAAGGATGACTCAGTAACAGCATTGCACCAATCACAAAATTCACAATTTCGAAAACTATCAAAGCCAAAATCGACAATCAGAAATCAAAAAGTACCCTTTACGGCGCTCTAGGATCGGTCCCGTGCTGCCAAACATACGCAAGCTCATCCCAACCAGTACTCGCCAGAAGCCCCTCCACCAACACGCTCATATCCACACCCACCGCAAACTCCGTGTGGTGGTCGTACCGCGCCACCAGCGCATCCTCCACCATGTAATCCCATAAGCAAACCGACATGTCGTACGAGCACGACATGATCAGGCTCTGCCTGTGCGGCGAGAATTTCACCTTCCTCACGGCGTAGCCGTGGCCGTTGAGCACCGAGATCGGAACCCTCATGCTCCTCACGTCCCAGACTTTGATCGACTTGTCAACGGACGCCGTGGCGATGCAGCAGTCGTCGTACTTGTTCCAATCGCACGCGAGGATCTCGAGCTCATGCGCGGGGATAATCATCGTGGATCCAGGCTCTCGCACGTCCCACACGCGCAGAGTGCAGTCGCCGGAGGCGGAGGCGAATACATCGGCGTGGCGGGGGTTCCATACGGCGGAGTAGACGCAGTATGCGTGTTCCTTGAAGGTTCGAACCGAGGCAGGACGGTCAACGGTCCATAGCTTGACGGTGTCGTCCCAGGAGGAGGTGAGGAAGGAGTCACGGCGCGTGGGGTTGTAATCAGCGGAGCTGACCTCGCGCGTGTGCTCGTGGAGGGAGCGAAGGGGGTTGGAGGCCGGGGGCAGAGCGGTGTCGTAAATCTTGACGGATCCGTCGGCGATGGCGGCGACTAGGAGGGAATCGTGGGACTCAGACCATGCGACGTCGTATACGCCGTCGGCGGTGTCGTAGGAGACGAGCTCGGTGATTGGTTGGCGGGGTACGCCGGGGCCCAGAGGGGCGGGAGAGAGGTCGATGACGTGGAGGCGGCCGTTGCCGAGGATGCCGAAGTTTTGAGAGGTGGCGACGGCGAGCCGGGACTCGTAGAAGGGGCTGAACTTGACGGAGTAACCGTTGAACGGAGTTTTGAACACTGGCATTGTTTAGTCCAATCCAGCGGCGCTTTCTCCGCTTTTGGCTTTCGATTTTGGGGTTTTCGGAGGCTGACGAGTCCTTCGGATTAGTTGGCGTTATCTTTTTTTTCTTTTTTCTTTTGTTTTTGTTTTTTTTTTTGGGTTAACTTTTTATGTAGTGTGGAAAGTTCGTGAAAAATAAGAAAGAAATAAAAGTACACACATCTCTTTTTTTGAAGTATAAATTACATATTGCCCATTAAATTTCGTCTAATTTTACATTCATAAGCTTTTTAATTTTGAGAACTTTAACGAAATGTTTCCGGTACTGTTTACTTTAATGAAAAATCATATTTTTACATTAAAAAATCAATCATAATACTATTCACTTTACCCTTTATTTTGTCATTATCGTTAAAACTCAAAATTTCAAATATTTTTCATTAGTTTTCTTTTTAATTTTTCTAATTTTATATAACGCTCATGATTTTGATAATTTCTCCGTTATCTATTTAAAATTATAGTCATCACGGACTCATGTCCAACTCAACTTTCACATAAATTAATAAATAATGTGAACCACTCATTGAATAATCCGCGAATGACCACAAATTAAAAATAAAAATACACCTTTGACAGATTATCAAAAAAGGCCTAATCGGATAAATGGTCCATGTGGTGATAAGGTAATTGAAAGATAACCCTCGTGGTAAAAAAATTAGGATTTGAACTCTCGTGGTATAATCTATTAGCCAATTTAATCCAAAAGTGAATTTTTTGTTAAATGTCAGTCAAATGCAGGAATAAAAATGTACTTTGACATGTGCCTTCTTCTTTCTCATCTCTCTGTTGTCTATGTAATTTGTGTTTGAGCAGCCATGCGAGTTTGAGTGATGAGAATGAGAATGAGAATGGTGGGAGTGGACATTACTCGATGGGAAGCCAAAATCTTGAATCAGCTCAAGAAAAAGCCGGCAATGATTGAGTTCATGTGGTTGTTTCGGAGGAACATGACTGGGTTTTTGTAGGGATTTATGATGGATTTAATGGCCCTAATGCTTCTAATTGCTTGCTTTCCAATTACTTTGTTGTGCACAAAGAACTCAAAGGTTGCTCTGGAAGTTCGAAATTGAAATCGAACTCGCAGAAACAAATTCTTTTTCTTTTTGTCATTAATATATAATGTGTATGAATCAAAATCCAACCACTAAACATAGATCCACATTTTCTGCCAGAATAACACTGAATCCCCACTTAAAAACTTTAACAAAAAAAAAAGAATGAAAAATTACTATACCAAAATGAATCATTTACTTCATGATTTCCATAAATTGAAATCACGAGAGATGACCATAGAACCGACAACTACGACTACTCGAAACAAGTTTTTGATTCATAGAAATCAAGACTTAATTAAGCAAAAACCAAACAGACCAGCAGCATATGCAAAGAGACGGTGAAGTGGAAATGACTGGTTCAACCCTTGTTAGGGCACTCCCTCGCGAAATGGCCGGACTCAGCGCACTGGTAGAAGCCTCCATAAACACCTCCGCTGCCATAGCTTCCACCTCCTGATAGCAGTCCCTCGCCATGTGTCTAGACTCGCCACACTTGAAGAGAGAATGTGAATAGAAAGAAAGAATGAGTTAAAATACATTTTTATCTCTGCACTAAACTGAAAATCTAACTTTTGGACTAAATTTGCTAACAGACTACACCAGAAGGGTTTAAATCCTAATTATTTTACCATGAGGGCGATCTTCTGATTACCTTATCATCACAGGAACCATTTATCCGATTAGGCCTATCAAAAAAATTATATATTCTAAAGGGTATTTTGAGAGTTATAACAAAATTCAACCATAAGGCCTTCTGTAATTTTTTTAATAAATAAGATGCTTTTTTAATGGATGTAAGATAGTAATAAAAAAAAAAATCTATCCAAACTCAAACGTGAATATCAAAAGCTAAAATTGCATCTTAAGTAAAAAAACACGATGTCTGATTAACATGACACATAAAACATAAAAAGCATAAAATACAAAGTCTTTCAAGAAAGAAAACATCAAATTAGCTTGTGTACACTAACGTCTAAAAATCCTTCCGAAAAAATCATATAAGACAAAACTTCAGACGATGAAAAAAGAGCGCCGCACATACAGCAACCTCAATAACGACACCTCCTCTCTCTTAGTGTAAACCCCATAACCGAGCATATAAACAAGAAGCCCCAAGACTTGTTATCAGTGGAAGCCTCGTGATACATTCCTTGAGTACAAAACACAAATGACTAACTGTGACACAGAGACATGTCTCCCATGTTTTTAATTTCTAGCCCAGCCCTTGAACTGGACCATCGCCATAGGCCTAGGCTACTTCTGTGTGCCTTCCATTTGTACCAGAATGTCCCTATTTGAATTACCACTTCTATTGTGGGCTCACTTTGATATTGCCCATTTTGTTTCTTTCATTACTCTTGATCTTGAACTAGGACCACAACTTGTCACCATTAAATTTCCTCCTCATTTCTCATAAATTTGGAGACTTTTTCACATTTAAGTTACACATCTAAATAAAAATCGTTAGATCGTTTAACCTAACAAGGTCTAACAGCTCTTATTCAGACATGTGAAATGTGCACTTTTGATGTGCGGTAGAGAAAACTCACACAAATTTGTTGGAGATAATCAAGGCACGTAAATTGTTCCAGGCCCTAAATGGCTAAATCTGCAAGGCCAAGCCCTCTTGGTTAATTTTGGTTGGCCTAATGATGGAAACTCATCATAAATGTGCTAAAGCTTTACTCTGCTCTAGCATATTGATCATGAGTGTGTGGGCAATTGTTAACTATAGATGCATAGCTGAAACACATATTTTGTGCATAAATCACCTAGATTTTTACGAGTGTCTATGTAGAAAGAAAGTTTAACCAAGTTTCAGAAATTAGTTTAAATGTATGATTAAAAAAATAAACAGAAACATGTCAAATGTGTTAACTCGGTGCCCATTTAGACCCTTAAAATAATACAGGCCTAGAGACATTAGGCTCAAAGACCAACCTAATAGAACTAAAGGAATCAGCTTCAAGAGTTATAGACGACCGCTCAATAGTCTGGTTTGCTGATCAACAAAGAGGCTGAGCACCTTATCATAAAGTACTTCTTGACCATTTGAGGCAAGTGGGCAAACTAACGACTTTATAGCACGAGGCTCCATAAACATACCCATTCAGATGTCAACTTCAAGCCACATGTTGGCCATCAGCGAAAACAAAAACCTATGAAAAGACATAAAGGTTGTCAGCTCAAGTCAGCATTTCCTCAGCTACTCAAGACTAAGCGGAGTGCACAGTACGTGTTGGCCTAGAAAACCTTACAACTAGTTGTGAGCAACTATCACTTCATCTATACGTGTCAACTAAATAGAGGAGTCATCAACAAGTTAAGCTTATGTGTTAAGATCGTTTGATGCTAGAGCGGTGAAGTATTTGAGAACCCAAGATCTTTAGGGCTCATTGGAAGCCTATATAAGGGAGACGAGTACCTCTTATAATTGGTCAAACACACAAGAAAAAAGAAAGGATTACACTATAACCAAACGCATCTTATAACCTATATCCAATACATATACATCGCACTATAGTGGACACAACCCAGTTTTTAAGGGTGAACCACTTAAACCTTGTTTTTAATTTCTTATAGTCTTTATCCCGAGCCCACCAAGGGCCAACCATACTAGTCTTTTGTTGACCTACTATTTTGAGCATTAATAAAACATAATCGTTAGAGCGAACCAAAAGCCGCATATGTTAAAAGAAACACCACAACTCCACAATTCACCAGCCATGGAGAAACCAAATCCAAGAACTACCGTAAAGCACTACCAGAAAAAATAAAAAATAAAATAAAATAAAATTGCACCTCTCTATGATGTTCTTGCAATTGTTGACAAATAAGTATGCTATGAGTCGCTTCCAACAAATATTAGATTTTTCTTGTCATAATTATTCATCAAGTGCACAAACATAACCGCTACAAAAACTCTCCCGAAAAGAAAAAGAAGGTAGCCTGACCTTGACACTATGAATGAATTCTCCAATACCTTGATTTCTTGTTGTGGGGCAATCATACAGGTTCCCGTAATTTTAGAATGGAGTTGAATTTTCAGCTGGCCGGATTTGGACTCTTCCCGAACGACTCAATTAATTATGTTTCCATTTGTTTGGCCTCCATTTACTATAATATATCCTCATATATAATCTCACAATAATTTATGAGAATTGTTATTAGCATTCTAAAAATCTCATTTAGCACTCTAAATTTTCTATAATTAAAAAAAAAATACGCTTGTAAAGAATGTAGAATGAAAATTTTGAAGTGCTAATAACAATTCCCTAATTTATAAATATTTCCAAAATTTTCAGGCACAAATGATGTATTTATTTATTTTTGCAAATTTCCGGTGTACCTTGTGGGCTCCAGATTTGAATTACACCTAATCCACTAACCCTAATTTGGGTATGTATTTGAGTTCTCGATACAGTGGATGTTTAATTTTTGGGTTCTCAACCCTAATTTACAAATATTCATGAAACAATCCATCTCACAAAAGTAATTATTGTTCGGGCTGTTCAGCAAAGGGATGTTTTAGTGGACAGTAATTGCTCGAGTGTATTTCTACTTTTAAAATAAATTGTCCGAGCAATTGACATTAATTTTTTAAGATAATTAATATACATATAAATTTATGTTTAATTTGAAATAAGATTTATAACCGATACCGTCACGTGTCATGATTTTGTAATTTCTATTTTTTGTATAATTTTTAATACTTATTTCTTACCTAATTACCATGAACCATTGTATTACATTTTTTTTTTGTAATCCAACACCTCATATTGTGCCACGTGGGCCACAACAGCTAATAAGTATTTTTTTATATATTTTTTTTTTCCTTTATTTCTTAAAAAAAATTGTTGAAAAATCCAAGACCGTATGATAGAAATCCTGTGCAAATCAAATGGGTGAGGGATGAGTGCATCTATAGCGCGGGCCCTAGCATTGCAGGGTTGGTCGGCCACTTGCACTCACGCGCACGTGAAACCAACGCGCCTAGCACAAAAAAAAAAAATTAGGAAGGTGTATGTATTCAATTGAGAATTTGAGAGACATTAATGGATTTATAAATCCATGAATTTTTATGGAGTTTAATTGATTTGTAGAGATTCCATATAAAATTTTGATTAAATTCCCTCGAAATCTCATGGGGAGAGGTGAGATTTGTGGATGCTTAAAATACACTACAAAATTTCTTCAATTCCCTCTAATTTCTCAACTTTCTCAAATTCTTTAAATCAATTTTTAATTGAATACATCTGAAATGTTATAAATTTCTTTAAAATCCTAATTAAATACATTCGGATTTCTAAGGATTTTAATAAACTATCTTAAAATTCTAATTAAATACACCTTGAATTTCAGATAATCACTTAAAATTCTGATTGAATACCCTTAGATTCATTAAAAGAATTAAAATCTCTCAAAATCTCAATTGAATACACCCTCTTTAATGTGGATGATGTCACCTTGACGTCACACGCCTTCTGACGCTAGGTTGGGCGATTATGGCATGAGTGAACAGGCCGGGGCGGAGCTCCTTTTGTTGGTTTTGGTGGATTGAATCATCCAATCCCCCTTGCAATTGGGAGGGGGTGAAATTGTTCTAGAACATATAAGAATGTTATAAATTGAACAAGTAATGTTGAATAAAAAGCTTAAAACATATAACATCGTACTATTATCCTGAGCTACAACAGTGGTATTCGAAATGTGTGTAAATGAGTCATTGTCGTAGTTTAATTTTCCAATACAAAAATCAAGAGCTCTTGTATATGGCCCCCTCCACTCCATAGCTCACATGTTACCCACTTTAATGGACGGGGCTTGTTGCGGATGGGACATAATTAACTGGCAATTATCAAGCATTTTCAACAGTTTTAACTATAGCTTGCATTATTTTCTCATCAAATCTAAAGGTCGGTTCCAACGAGACGTTCTAATTCTAAAGGACAATCCACGATAAATTTATACAATCAAATCAATCTTGAAAAAATCTTTTTCGAATAGATTAGGTTGAATAATTTGTTATGGTGTCACGATCTTATCTTTACACTTTTTGATTTACTTCCAACAGTATCTCTAAAGTCATCTTAACTAAGATAAGAGAGAAAGAACTCTCACCTCTCTCATGACATCTACCTAATTTTATAATAAAAAATTAACTCAATTTATAGTGATTTCGAATCATAAACTTATTTACGTTTGTTTTAAAAAGTTAATATAAAAGTACAAACCATTTGCTTTCCACATCAAGCATATGTGAGATTAGACCAGAAATCAATTTTATCAATCAAAAGTTCGTGATCAATTGGTACACATTAAGAATGTAGAAACGGAGTTATAAACAATTAGTATCTAGTATGAACAATACGAATAATTATGAACTGTTGATTAATGTGAATTCACATACGGTCGACCTACGATGTCAAGATGATGCAAGCAAAATCCTTTTGCAAAATAGGCAAATACATCCACATTGAGTCAAATCACTTTGCAATCCTAAAACCACAAAGAGATAAAGTTTAAAAGAAGTGATGTATCACACCTCACTTTCCAATGAAAACCACAACCCACATAATGTTGCTTGGGATATTGAAACTTTGAGAGATCACAAATCCCCTCTCTCAAAAGAAGATTTTCCCTATGCCCCATTTTCCACGCGATCAAATCTTCTGCATTCAAAATGAGTATGGTTTCTATGTGACCTCAATGACACATACTAAATTTTCAACAACACAATTAAAAAGATTAAATTTTTAAAGACGTGTCAATCAATAATTTGAGTAACAAAGATGCCACACGCATTTTAAATGCAAAAGATTTGATCCCATTTCCCACCCCTTCTATTCCCAATTCACTCCCGAGTCCCAACAAAGCCGATCGATTTCACTCCCTCTCAATCAACCCACACCTACATACAAGTAACCTCCACACACTAAATTAGAAAATAGCAAAGTAGTTAATCAATCTTATTATGACACGTGTCGGTCCTCAACTGAAACATTTGAGCAAGGGCACCCCTTTGCTGGCAGTCCCAATCGTGCACAAACATGTGCCCCCCGCCATAAGGACCCCCAATCCTTTAAAACCAACCCCAAATTATTGAACTTGGTGAAGGAGAAGGAAAGAAAGAGAGGGATGGGTTGGGGTGGGCCCTAAATGGTGATCCCAAAAGGGCAAAGTACAGAGGGAGGTGCAATTATTCATGCCATGGATTTCATCCTAAGCAAGTCATAAGCAGAAAATTTCCTCATCATCTGGCTATCTCATCCCACAATCAAAAGGTTTAAAAAAAAAAATGAAAGTATTTTACACATAGATTTAACACATTTTATAATAGAAATATGTAAATTTCACTTCATTATATTAAAAATGTTAGAACAAATGTATTAATTTTGTGTGACTAATTATATTAAATAAATCGTCTAAAAGAAAACACTGATAGTATATAATAGAGATATGCATTTTCTACTTATATTAAAAATTGTGAGAATAAATATATTAATTTTGTATGTCAAAATAAATCGTCAAAAAAATTGGTATTATATTATAAAACCATCATTTGTTACAATCATAAAAAATAGAAAAGGGTTTTTAATTAAAGAAACTTCTGTATTCTCTCTTTCATATTCTCTTTCATTCACTGCTTCCCTCACTTCCTCTCTCTGTCCTCTCTCAATCTATGAGAGAGACCATTGGAGGGAGAGAAAAAACATAGCTAGAAAGCAGGAGCAGCAGGAGGCAGCAGCTAGCCATGAAAAACACCATCAGGTGCTGCATCTCTTGCATTCTTCCATGTGGAGCTTTGGACGTGATTCGAGTCGTACACTCTAACGGCAGAGTCGAGGAAATCAGCGGCACAATCCGGGCCAGCGAGATCATGAAGGCGTACCCTAAGCACGTCCTCAAGAAGCCCTCCTCGTCGGCGTCCGATCACGATGGGGTCGTTCCCAAGATCGTGATCGTTCCGCCTGACGCGGAACTCCAACGAGGAAAGATTTACTTCCTCATGCCGATGCCTGCCTCTTCGAAGACGTCCGAAAAGACGGGGAGGACAAGATCGTCGTCGGCGAAGAAGAAGCGAATCAAAGACGCCGAAAACAACAACGTCACCAACAACAACAACGTTGTTTTGAACAGCATCGCCATGACCAACCTGTTGATAAATGATCGGTACTTGAGCGAAATACTGTCGGAAAAGCATTCGTCGCAGCGGGATCGGCGGCGAGGACGTGTTGGGGTTTGGAGGCCGCACTTAGAGAGCATTTGTGAGTCACCAAGTGATGTGTAATATTGGCGGATTTTCATTCTTTTGATCTTCTTCTTCTTAGTTTTATCATTTGTCTTGAAGGTTCATATATTTTAGTAGGGTTTGCAAAAAAAAAGAGGAAAAAGTACTACTGCCAATTCTTTCTTTTTTCTACCTCTTTCAATTTCCTTAATTTTCTGCCATTTTCTTAGTTTTTTGTTTCTTGTTTTGTATATATAGAAAAAAATAGGGAAAGAAGAAATAATAGGCAAACAAGTTCTATGAGAGGGTCTCAATCATTGGCTCATGGTAATTAATCCGTATGTCTGTCTGTGGTTTTTGTTTAATTATTTCATGCAATGGATATTATGAAATCTATTTAATCTTGTAATTTTTGGAGAGGGGTGAAGATCAAGAAACTAAATTGTTCTGGTTTTGCTTAACTCTGTTTTCTTTCGTGTGGAAGGAGTAGTTTTTTCTTCTTCTTTTTTTCTTTATCAATGTGGAAGGAGAAGTTTATCTGAGGAGAGAGACTACTGTGCTGCATATCATACATATGGAAATGAATTAAAGTCGCAAGGTGTGATTGCGATATGATTATAGAAGTGGCCTTGGAATATTTGATTTACTTTAAATCTTTATCTAAAATTATCTCTAAAGTTGGCATAACTTCTCACTTTGATCTTTGATATTGTCCAACGTCAACTATTTTGGTCATTCTATGAGAAATCTCCGTTAAATTGAGGTTATATTTGTTAAATCAATCTCTCTCCTTAAACTGATGGTTTTTTTAATTTAACAGATATTTTTCATAGAATGAACCAAAATGATTGACGGTGGATAATCTCAATGATAATTTCTATCCATTTAAGACTATTTTGACTAAAAAAATCAAACGGAAATGATCATACAGCACACAAGGTTGTCATCTGTGTCGGTAATCCTTTTATGTTGGATATTGATGTAATGATTACTACATATGTACATCAGTAGCTAGCTAGTTCTCATATTTTGTGCGAACACAACCACAAATATATTGTAATCGATCCATGCATTATCATATGCGTGGACAACAAATTTATATTGTAGGTGTCGTATCTACGTCGTTATAATGAACATGAGTACGTTTTATTGTACTACATCATGTTTGGTGTTCCAATTACACTAATAATTCCCATACGTATGTCAAATATAAAGATATGGATCGAAATTTAGTATGATAGTAAATGAGATAAATAAAAATTTTTGCATCGTTTTTTTTTTTTATGAATTATATTACCGATTACACCTCCGTATTAATAGTAAAGTTGGATTATAGCATCAATTGTTATTATGATGATGATGATGATGATGATGATCAAGGTCATCCTGAGGATGGAAATGATAGTCCCCACATATTCACCACACTTAGGATAATGCAAATGTAAGCTTTGCACTAGCTTTCAAGTTTCAAGTGGGTATATGGCATGTCTTTAAGCATGTTGTTCTCTTTGAGAATGATTAATTAGATATAGAGATGGTGCGAATGGAATCCTGTAAAGGTAATCACAGTAGGGTTTGACCTTTTTTCTTGACATTGGCCTGTGGCAGAGGCAGATGGTTGAGCCTTTGATGAGCAACCCCATGTTCCGATCCCCATATCTGAATTTTTTTTCCTGCACCTGGCAGTCCCACCATCTGGGGCCAACCAAAAAAGGCATCGCAGAGTTCAGATATATGATTGAAATTGTATTATCTCATTCACTTGATCCTTTTGGCACATGTCAGACAGCTATGGGTTAATCTTCTTGCACCTATATGCAATAGGGGATGCAGAATTTAAACTTTGAAGGTTCCAGTGGTAAATACAAATTTTTTTAGCCAGGAATTGAGCGCGAAGCGTGCAAAAAAAATCAATTTATTCACTTGAAACAATTTGATGAATGATATAGAGAGAATTTATTGAGTGCTGTCAACGCAACTTGTCGATATATCCTAGGATGCATTACATCAAACATTTAATAGGCACAAAAGAAACTTGTTCCAAACATTCGTAGAGTCCTCGAAAAACCTTCGCACATATATTTTATGGACTCGGGTGGTCCTGGGACCTTGGTTCCTACTTCCATTGGCCCTTGCCTATATATACACGACATATAAATCATGCTTACAATGCATGATATATAGGGTTAGGGTTAGGATAGTGCGACACTCATTTGTTTGACACAATTTGGCAGAGTCTACATTATAATGTATGTCAATGAACGAACTATTTAAATTTAACTTTATCATTTATAGAATCATAGATCATTGTTGCATATAGTTTAGACAAATCCAAAACCATTAAAATATTCATGTAGTATAGAAGATGAACAAATACGGTTTGGCAAAGAAACACTAAAATGATAATAATTCAATACAAATGTCATATGGTTTTGGATTTGGACGATTTTTGATAGACATGATATTTGAAATAAGAACTAAAAGATAAATGGTTGGATCGTTGTAATACATGATGACGTAGAATTCTACAAAATATGTGTCAAAATGTGTATCGATACCCCGTTCCTAACCCATACATATGTATTTTTGATAATTTAGAGCAGAATTATTGAAGGAAAGGTACGTGACTTAAATGTGAAGATATGTATAACTAAAAAAAATCTTATGATACTGTGGTTGAAACAGTAGAATAATAGATTAGACAAGTATCAGCTCCCACTGAAAGCAATATTCAACCCATCATTTGTAGTTGAACATAACAAATTTATTAACAATTCACAAAAGTAAATAAATAATGAAAATGCCTTGCTACCAACTTTCTAAAACTACTCTTCAATTAAAGTGGACCATGCAGCAATTGACCCATACCCATAATCAGAAGATCATAAAGATTAAAAAGGGCAACCTCAAAATAATAAGGTTCTTTGCTTTGTGATGATTACGAAGAAACGTTTATCGTACGCAGTTTTATTATTATTTTGTAAATAAACTATTTTTACGACTCGAACTTGTAACTTTTCAGTCATAAAAACTATTTCAAAAAAATTGAAAATAAGCAAGATCACATGAGAGTAGAGAGGATGATATATTTAGGGCCAACTATATATAAATCTCCTAAACTATTGTATTGCCCATGTTTCAATAGTTGTAATACTTTTACAAACTTATATAAAAATGACAAACTCTACATAAACCATTGACACCGTCCACGTAAATTTGTCCTCGTCAACACAAAACATGCACTTGTTAGGCTGAAAATTAACATTTGTACGCACAGACGGATTGATGAAATTGTGACATCCCACATCGTTCAGGGAAGTGATCCTTATATGTATATTCGCATCCCTACCTAGCACGAGGCCTTTTGAGAGCTCACTGGCTTCGAGTTCCATCGGAACTCCGAAGCTAAGCGAGTAGCGCGCGATAACATTCCAGGATGGGTGATCTATTGGGAAGTTCTCGTGTGAGTTCCCAGAAACAAAACCGTGAGGGTGTGCTGGGGGCCCAAAGCGAACAATATCGTACTACGGTGGAGTCGGACCCGAGAGGTGATCCTGCTCGGGCCGGGATGTGACAGAAATAGTTTAATTGTTCGTTTGAAAGTGCTTCTAAAAATGCTTGAAAGTGTTTTTGGTGTAATTAATTTTGAGTTCTAAAAGCATTTAAATGTTTTTTAAAAGAAACACCATATATGTGTTTTTTGCATAAAGCGCTTAAATGCTTTTCCAAAATACGTACACTTGAATTTTTAATAAAGATGGGTTTAAAAAAATTTCACCAAATATATTTTCAATTATTTTAAAATCACTTCTAAACGAGTTATAAATTTAGGGTTTACGGTGGATGAGTTTGTAAACCGTATTACTATAGGCAATAATTTAGGGGTTGTATATGTTATTTGATCCCATATTTCACTTTTGCATAAATAAACAAAAACAAATGGGAAAAGAACAAATTGCAGCTCTTCCTGTTTCTCTTTCATATTCGAAACGGCGCCTCACAATTTTCATCGATTACAAGAACCACAGAAGGGCTGGTCGCTTTCTCCACCTTTGGCTTTCATTTCTTTGTGACATATAATTTTAGTTTCTTTGCATTTTAATTGTTGTTTATTTATTTTGTCTGCTAACTGTGCCCACTATTAGACATGAGAAACTGGTCATTGTGTTTGTATTATTTTCATGTTATATTGGTTATTTTAACGGATCTTATTGTGTTAAATTTTTTATCCTAATGATTTTTTACAGGTAATATGATAACAATCCAACTCGTTCACGGGTCATGTCATGTTAATAAATCTTACAATAAATTTTCATGCCTAATGTTTAGACTTTAAAAATCGTTTACATATCATAACTATTATCTTAACGGATTATTAACATGTGACCCGATAACGATCCGAATCGTTAATCGGTAATGCGAAGGATCAGAATCGTTAACAATTAACCCAAAACTAATAATTTTCGTATTATTTAATATCAGTTCACAGATCGTATAAAAAATTGTCTGACTTACCCACTATATACAAAGAAAGTAGTAAGACCCACCCCATACTTTTCTATGAAAGTGTGTTTTATTTTTGTTTCTAGTAATTTTATTTCATTATTGCCATGCGGACGCACACAGTTCTTTCACTTTCATTGTCTGCAAAACTCGGACTTTACACGTGGCAGATTCTACCAATTCTCGGCTCTCTGCCAAGGGACACTAATATGGCGTCCTTCAATGGAGCTCTGATAAATGCATGAGTTTATTTATTACGTTGAAAAATTACGTTGTCATTTTTTAATACGACTGATATTCCTATTCTAAATTAAATTAAAGAAAAAATAATAAAAAGGGTTTACATGATTAACTTTTTAGTGTAAAAGTGTAATTTTTTGTTAAAGTAAACTGTACTACGAGATTTTCATTAAAACTCTCTTAAATTAAATGAAAACGATGTTTAAATTCGAAAAGTAGTGTAAGTTTTCATTTAGGGTGAATAACATTTCTCCCACAAGTATGATAATTTGCTAATTAAAAACAATTTTATGTGTGTTTGGCATATTATAACAGACTCTTATAACGTGAGATAAATTTCTTTGTTCTTGTGTCAATGCCCTTCTCTTTCAATCTCCCTTGTTGTCATTGTGTATTTGAAGTATGTTTCTACTTTGTACATGATTTGTGTACGCATATGCTAGAAAAATTTTCGAAGAAAGACAAATTGATCGACATAAAATAACGTGATGAATATCTCCCACACTAGTCCAAGATATACGCGATATGCATGGCTTTTTTTTGGTAAAGCTTATTTCAACAACTAGAAAGTTGGTAGAAAGTTGGCATAACTTGTCCCGTACGAACAAAGACTTGTAAGTTGTAGCAAATTTTCCTACTACAATCGTGCAGCAATTAGCTAGTGTTTGAACTTGTTAGCTGAAGTTCGGCACGCAATCAGCCAAGTTTGATAGTTTAAGACACGAAGTTTGTTCCTTGAAAAGTTAAATAGAGATTTCAAAAGAGAAGGCCTTACGGGGAAGAGATTCTCTCCTTTTTCCTTTTTTATTTTTTTTAAAACAAGAAACAGTTAGGGGTTCCCGCCACATTGAACTTCAACGATTTGAATCATCTGTTTTTCAAGTTGCACCTCTTAGATCATCTTTGCATTAGCCAAATCGGATATATTTGATGAACAATTTGTTCTATAAGAAATAATAAAATTTTATTGTGATAATTAAATAGGCAAATGGTTTCAGGTTGAATTAGATTTTTGCAATAATGTCCATGAATCGAGACTTCTAAAATAGACGATTCAAATCGTTGAAGTTCGATTAGAATGGATCACACAACTAATCCTTATTTTTTCGATTAGAATGGATCACACAACAAATTAAGTGGACTAATTGATCATATTTCAAATTTTCTTGCCGATTCATAACTTCCTTTTCTGCAAATAAACAAGTATATGTCATGAAAAATATAAAAAGAAGAAAAATGAAACAAAATTAAAAAAAAAAAGAGAAAATTATAGTTTGAGGCAAAAAGAGTAAGAGAGAGATGGGGTTAAGTGGGTGGGACGGTAAAAAAAATAATCCGATAAGGCGGACAGTAATGCGACGGGGAACGGACCGAGCCGAGCCGGTAAATCCATCGAAGCCACTAAAGCCTTAATGACATCGACAACAAACCCTCACGCGCTCATCCCGGCGACCTCCCTCCTACACTCGCGCCTCATGCGGCCGGCGCTCTGCTCCCACCGACGTGACCCCTTTACTCACTAACAACACCCATCCTCTCTCTATTCCCACCCGCTCCCCAATTTTCCCACGCCCAAAATCCACCCTTCCCGATGGGCGACCTAACCGACCTCCAAATAACGCCGTTCAATGCCGGCACCACCGCCTCCACCCCGCCCTCCTCCAAACCTCGCCCCATGCCCGTCCGCGAAGACTGCTGGAGCGAGGACGCCACGTCCACTCTCGTCGACGCCTGGGGCCGCCGCTACATCGAGCTTAACCGCGGGAACCTCCGTCAGAAGGACTGGCAGGAGGTCGCTGACGCCGTCAACGCCCTCCACGGCCACACCAAGAAGACCCACCGGACGGACGTCCAGTGCAAGAACCGAATCGATACTATCAAGAAGAAGTACAAGGTAGAGAAGGTTAGGGTTTCGTCCTCCAACGGAACCCTAACCTCGTCGTGGCCTTTCTTCGAGAGGCTCGACGCTCTCATCGGATCTAATGTCAAGAAGGCGTCTCCTTCGCCTCACTCGCCTTCGCTGCCGGTCGCCGTTCCGTTGCCTTTGGGGTACCGGAAGACGCCGTCCTCGGCTCCGGTGGTGACGGCTGTGGCGCTTCCGCAGAAGCGGTCGGCATCGACTGCGGCGCTCGACGAGGGTTTCTTCAGGATGAATTACTCGGCTGTGGCTGCGGCTGCAGCCGCAGCCGCAGGGGCTGACGATGAGGACGATGAGGACGAGGATGAGGACGATGACGATAACGATGAGGCCGATGAGGAGGTTGAGATGGCGAGGGAGAGCGGAGGAGAGGTTGGAAGCGGTGGAGGAGGAGGAGAAGGGTTGAAGAGATTGGCGAGAGCGATTGAGAGGTTCGGGGAGGTGTATCAGAGAGTAGAGGCCGAGAAGTTGAGGCAGATGGTGGAGTTGGAGAAGCAGAGGATCCAATTCGCCAATGAATTGGAGGTAGAGAGGATGAGGATGATCATGGACACGCAGGTCCAGCTCGAACGGATTAAGCACGGCAAGCGGTCCGGCTCTAATGGTGAGGCAAATCTCTCATATTTCTTGTGTGTAAATTGTAGGATTGTTTTTCGCTTGTGTTTTTATTGTTAAATTGATTGGATTGTTTGATGTTTTATGTCTTTGTGTCAACATGGTCGAGCTTAATTTTATATAACTTGTGAGATTTCATGGTAGTGGCCTGAAAGGGCCTTCCTTGAGTTTGAAGCATCTGTCAATTTTGAAGATCCAAACTTTACCCTGATTGGGAATTTTAGTTAGGGTTCTTGCTCGGAAGTTTGAACTGCACCTTGGCAATGTAGTAAAACAATGATCGATTGTTGCGTTGCATATGTAATTGGAAACTGTTTGCTTGTGTGCTGCCCCCAAAGTCTCAGTTCCTCCTCTGTATATTAACACGAATGTTGTTGCGGTTGTTTGATTCCTAGACTTTTATGCACTATCTGGCTAGTATTCTTAATGTGATTAGGAGGGGATACATTTTGTTGTGTATGAGAGCGATGTTTCAGAGATATGGAGAAGTTTGAATTATATGGAGGAATTTCAATACTCTGTCGTAGGCTTAACTTAACTTGAACTAAGTTGTGTTGATATTGCTTTTAATTTTAGGAGCAATGGGAGTTAGATGGCGACGATAAGTATTCTGTGGATGCAAAATTCGTCTGTCTAGGGGTGGGAGTAGGTTGAGCATCTGCCTGTTGGTTACCCCTAATTTTTGACCCACTGGTATGATAACCGTGTCTCCCTGGGATTCTCATGCATTAAGCGCTCTGGTCGTCATCATTCTCTGCATGAAATTTCATTAGTTCTAGGAACTTGTTGGTTAATGTTGTATCAAATATCTTGATAATAATATGAAATGTGCGAAATGTCTAGTAATTTACAGGATTTGTTTCATAAGGGAAAAATCTTCTAAATTATTCAAGTGAAGAAACATGCGTGGTTACCTTAATGCCCACCTTACATTGCATTCTTCTCTTACATCCTCTTATTTTTACATTATAATTCCACTAAGTTGATTTCACGAACACAACTTATCTTGGCCTTGATGTTGTCTATAATGTTTCCTCGTGGATGTAAAAGTTTGTAAAGTTGAGCTCTGAGATTTTATTTATTTATATTCATTTATTTATTTATTTTATTTTTTAGATTTCTATCAATCTGTATTATAAAAGAACATAAAACATGTAACTGGAGTCTTTTAATTCATTAATGTCTCAGCCCGCTCGCTCGCTCCTCCATCAGTGTGCCGTCTAAGATTTATATCTCATTTCTGTGTTAGTAACTTAATGACTGCTCTCAATGTTTAGATTTAGAGAATGTTAACAGCATCAGTTTCCGATTGCATAGAATGACCTTTCCAGGAGGGCAACATACGGAATGTTTTTAACATGCCATTTATCCATAGCCTCATTAAGGTTCTGAATCACATGGTGTCTGATCTTTCTTGCATAACTTGATTGGCTAACGTTGATGTAGCTAGTGCATGTTTCTGCCCCATACTTCCCTACGACATACAAGAATACGTTGCCTTGTTTGAAAATATGTGCTTTTATATTTCTTATAACATCTGAGTGATTTCGATGGAAAACTTGATAAAGTGATACAGAAAAGTAGATCTCCCTGAACCCCCAGATCATACGGCATTTTTTCTACTTGTTCTGGTCAACACAAGTTTGACGTTTAAACTATTTTACCGCACAGTTTTATCGTGTGATGTTTAGAGGGTCGTTGATATTCAAGTTGAAATACATGATCTCTCAGTTAGGCGCTTCTGCACATGGTACTCTTGAATTATGATATAATCATGTGTAATCTGGGTTAGCTCTTGTGCTCTTGATTTTGTTTTTTGTTGCAAATTTGATTTCTAACAACGGTTTTACGGTTCTCTCTTTTACAGATGTTTACAGCTAGCTAGCCTAGTGCCGGAGAAGCTTTAACGGTAAACTTACGCAGGGGAAGCGTTATGTAGCATCTTCTTGATTATCCTAGGAAGTACATATTGTTGCAGCTGATGATACTGGACCTGAGAGAAACTACTGGCACCAACAGTCCCGGGTTTTATTTTCGGCTCCTTTCATCTCCTTTTTTTTTTTTTTTGCCAAAATTTACTATTATTCTCAACTGTTCGGGAACTATATAATTGTCTTGTTTGTTGTACTCGTCCTTAGATCTGGTCCAGTGAATTTGCTTAATATTAGTTAGCATTTTTTTTTGGTTTGAACTCCACAAATCTAGTTGCCTTGCAATATAAAAAATTAGTAGTTAACTTGTCTTTGAATGTGTTTTCTTTTGCTTCTCTGGCTTACTGTCCCTTCATCCCTTTGTTTGTTTACTCTGTTTTGGTTCTTGGGCTTCTTTATACAATCCGTTCTGGACCCCAAGATTCACTGACAAATACTACCAATGTAAATAAAATCAAACAATCAAATTTTATATATTCGAGTTTTTAGTGTATGGGATGATGATGATATTCAATCTCGAAAGAAGGCTGTTACTGGCAATCCAAAAAGGTCGTCAAGCACTCATATACAGTGAGAAAAAGAAAAAAAAAAAAAACCGAGAAATGAGACTTGAGTGGGTCCCATCCAACGGATCAACTTAATTGTCTCAATTCAAATGACAATACTTGCATTCAGCCAGAGAGCGCACTTTTATCTTACATAAACCAACTTTTTTGTACATAATCAATAGAAGATAGTGTTTAGTTTCTTAAACATCACTTAAAGATCATATTTGTAAAAAAGTCAACCAAATTAGAGACTATTTAGTCATCTTTAACTATCAAACAAATTGACGTTTTTGTTAAATATTAAGATCATCAGGATGAATCGTGCATTTATTTTATACATATTTGTGTGGGTCATTGTAATCTTTTTCCTTCCGTAATTTTGGGTCCAAGTCAGAAAATCAGTGCAGGCAGGTAAAAGGGCAGGTCACCATCTAGCAGACTAGCACTGTAATAAAATGGCCAATATATTCCTCTGCTAAGCCTTTCTTTTAACTTTGGCCAAAGCATTTTCCCGCCAACTTCATGAAGACCAAACCATGCTGAAAAGGCACGAAAACTGGATAGCTCGAGTAAACGTGTTCACAAGGATGCAGAAGAGGAGGAGAAGGAGAAGCGACGCATGATATATTCAAAGATGACGTCGAATTCATTCGGGATTTTACATTAACAAACGCTTGCACCAGAACTACACACTAAGCATAAATGAATTTGCAGACCTGACCAATGAGGAATTTCGAGAACATTCGTGTATTACTGGTTACAAGAAACAATCCTCCAAAGTGTTTGTGTCCATAGGTGCTGCAGCTGGTTTTAAACATGGAAGTGTGACTGAAATGCCACCTTCTGTGGATTGGGGAGAAGAAGGCATCGTGACACCTATCAAGGACCAAGAAAATGTGGTGAAAATAACATGGTATTGATGACTTATGTTGTTTCAATTGTACATGAATTCAGCAGCGGCAGAAGGGGCTAATCAGCACAAACCGGAAACTTAATCTGTGGATTGTGACACAACAGGTGAAGACCATGGCTGTGAAGGTGGTCTAATTGGACATTGTTTTCCAATTCATCCAACAAAATGGGGAGTAGATATGTAGATGGAAAAATAGATGCAACACTTAGAAGCCTGCATCCCCAAGAGACTCCGTAAACATATACTACAACTGACCGAGTATGTGCCTAAACAAACGAAATGCTTTGTTGCAGGCTGTCGCCAGTTTTTGTTGCCATTGATGCAAGTCGATCTGCTTTCCACCTTTATTCGAGCCGTGTGCTCACTGGCACTGGAACATGTAACTTGGACTATGTTTTTACCGCGGTTGGATACGAAACCAGTGGTGATGGGACTAAGTGTTGGGTTGTAAAGTGTTCTCAGAAAATGGGGAGAGTGGATTCTATGGCAGCCATGCCAAAGGACGGACTCAGCGTCATTGGTATATATAATGGCATGATTAAAAATGGAAAATCATGAAGTCGCAAGGGTTAGCCCCGTGGTGAGGGTGGGTAAAGTGATAGGTAGGAGTGTGCTACTTACTGAAATCTGAAACCCTCTAATGTAACAACAAAATGAAGAAAAGAAAATGATAATGTTGTCATATAGTATGTGATAAATAATTGATTTGTATCATCTATATATATGTTCTCGGCAATTTTCAGCAATTGATTTGTACCAAATATCAATATGTAGAAGAATTTGGTTTGTCCTCTTCTTCTTCAAATTTCAGATTCATAGACAACAACTTTTTTTTTAACAAATGATACTATTTACACTAAGGGGGTGAGGGGGTGAGGGAGTGAGATAAACTTTGTAATGGGTTTGCCACGATAATGTGGTTTAACTTCGTTTTTGTGAGAATCAAACCGAAGACCTTACTCTTCAAATTTCAGATTCAGAGACAATAACTTTCTCCAACTTTCTTTTTTTTTTAAACAAACGATACTATTTATACTAAGAGGGCGAGAGAGTGGGATAAGCTTTGTAATGAGTTTACCATAATAATGTGATTTAACTTCGCTTTTGGTGAGAACCAAAGATCTTATTTACAAGTGAAGAAGGATATCATTAGACCATAATACTAAGTGGCCATAGATAGCCACTTTAGTACCTCACCAACCATATTCATGACACCAACTCTAGGACCCACTCTATTCCCATATCAAACGATATTGCACCGAAAGACCACAATTTTCTTAAAACTGCAATTAGGCTCCCTCCGTCGGGACCCTCATAGGGTGGCCGCCTGGCCGGTTTTGGGGTGGGTGTGTGTGGGTGTGGTGGTGTCACTTGTATAGAGAAAACAAGTCCTCTCCACATCTTTGCATGTAATGAGGTTTTAACACCTCACTAACAAATTCAACATCGTAACCTTAAACCTTTTGCATGCATCGTTATTCACGCAGTTGTGAATAACAAACTTTTACTGTCACAAATTTTATAATTGAAATGTTTATTATTTTAATTATTTAAAGATCATATCAATAATATGTTTATAATCAACAAGTAAAAATTACAGTTCATGATGAAAATCTATTTATTTGATATATATAGATGACTAAAATAATCTCTAATGATCTTTTGTTGAGATGATCTTTAAAATAAATAATAAATGATCCCAATTATGAAAGTGCAAGATAAAAATTTGTTAATCACAATTGAATAAACAATGCATTACACCTTTGAGATAGACCAAGTATTATGGATAGATGGTGTGGCTCATTGTCATCTTTCTCCTTCCGCAAATCTGGGTTTAAGTCGGAAAATCACTGTAGGCACGTAGAAAGGCAGGTCTTCATCAAGCACTATCATGAAAAGGACAAGCTTAAAACAAGCTTTTTGTCTATAAAATCCCAGATGCACATTGAAGTTTTGCACCCAAATATCAAAAGATAAACATACCTTTAATTATTCGTGCTTAATGATATTCCATGGCTCTCACAAACCTACAAGGGCCAACACCTCTTCTCAGCCTTTCTTTAACTTCGCCATGCCATGCCATTTGCTCCACCCAAGCATTTTCCCCCCAACTTGAAGACCAAACATTTGCACCCAAATATCAAAAGATAAACATACCTTTAATTATTCGTGCTTAATGATATTCCAAGGCTCTCACAAACCTACAAAGGCCAACACCTCTTCTCAGCCTTTCTTTAACTTCGCCATGCCATGCCATGCCATTTGCTCCACCCAAGCATTTTCCCCCCAACTTGAAGACCAAAAATTTGCACCCAAATATCAAAAGATAAACATACCTTTAATTATTCGTGCTTAATGATATTCCATGGCTCTCACAAACCTACAAAGGCCAACACCTCTTCTCAGCCTCTCTTTAACTTCGCCATGCCATGCCATGCCATTTGCTCCACCCAAGTATTTTCCCCCCAACTTGAAGACCAAACCATGCTGAAGAGGCACCAGAACGGGACGGCCCGATTCCAGCAGGTACGTATATTAGGATGCAGAAAAGAAGGAGAGGCGATACATGATATTCAAAGATAAAGTGGACTTCAATGAGGTGAAAATCATGGCCGTCAAGGTGGTCTAATTGGACAGTGCTTTCCAATTGATCCAACGCAATGGATCAACACTCAGAAGTCTGCATTCCAAACAGTTTCCTAAACGGGTACGTATGTGCCATTGCGGACCAGCCAGTTTCTGTAGTCAATGCTAGTAGTGTGTTCATCATTATTGCCTTAGACCATGGTGTTACCTCAGCTGGATACAAGATTAGTAGTGATGGACTAAGTATTGGCTTGTGAAGAATTCTTGGCCCTTGGGGCACAAAATGGAGAGAGTGGATTATGGGGCATTCATGCCAAAGGAAGGACTCTATGGCTTGCTATATACAGAGGCTTCTTATCTAATGGAGGAGAGATTTTTTAGTGTGACCTGTACACGAGATGGTATATCACGTGTCACTATACAAATGGTGGGATATGTATGCTAAAAAGTTAATAACTTAAAAAATAAAATTTCCCATCATTCCTATTAAAATACGTAATATACCACTTGTGTTCCCGTCACAACTAAAAATTTCTACTAATGGAGTGATGAAAGATGGAAATGATAAAGCCACGTGGATTAGCCCCAGTGCCAAGGGTGGGTAAAGTGATGGGTAGGAGTATGCTCGGTACAAAAATCCTCTAATGTAACAAAAAAAGGGAAGAAAAAAAAATGATAATGTATAGAGTGGGTAAATTAAGACTAGATAGTTAACTTAAGGCTAATTAATAAAGCAATCGATAATGTGATATTTGCCAACCAGAAGATAAGCAACGTTGCTCTTGTACCTGTTTAATTTATGGGAGCTGTAACAGATCAGAACCAGCCATGCATACTTGATATATGAAAAAGTCTAAGGATATATATATGGAACTAGAACTTAGAAAATACGGTGTTGGTTGCTACAACTTCAAATACAAACCGTATAGCTAGCTTTCTGTACGTACGTACACAGTAAACATTATTTAGAACAAACTAGCTAGCTAGAGCTATATTTTTCAGAGAGGGAGAATAAATACATTATATATGATGAAGAGATGTGTCTTTTCCATTGATAATGCTCCATTTCTACATCCATCGCCCACATATGCATCCCGTTGAGCTCTTGTAGTGGTCCTGCAATGAACATGCATAGAAAACTAATGAAACAACGTCGTTAAATTTCATAACGAATTAGTTACTAGTTAAACATGATCAATGCCTTCAAATTTAGTTACAGAATTTCACTACATCATAACTTAAAATAATTCACGATATCATATATTAGATATGTAGTCTTTCTCTCTATCACTCTTCTTAAATTATTTTTGTAGAATTTCTTCTTTGTCACGGTGAGCATCTCCGGCCCCCCTCTATCTCTTTTCTTGCATGACTAACACTGTGATAGGAAAGGTATTTGACTGTTTTTGGTCTACTGCATTTTTTCTTGTTGACAAGAAATTGCGTTTAACATGTTCAACAAGAAAGTGTAATAAACCTCTTCAACTTGCAGCCCTAATATACCGCGTGGCTTGAGCCAAAGTTGTTTGTGTAACTTATATTGGGTGATGTGAAAGCACGTATTATGTGATTTTGTTGAGCCTAATATGTGGAATGCTTGCTCTACTACTACGAATTACAACATCCAACCGAAAACCAATACCAATTGGTGGAGAATTAGGCTTAACATTATATAATACTGTGCAAGACTTTAAAGGTCCTGATATGATACTCTCTCAACATCAACTGGATCTAAGAAAAGAGTTCATGGCTAGCTAACAGAAGGAACTTTCTTATTAGTGAACACCAAGTGATCAATGTTTAACTTTTCAAAGGTAGAAACTTATAAATTTCGATGTGTAAAGATCAATGTATTAAAAGTGTGAGGTGTGGGCGAGGCGTCCGAGGGACATCCCAGCCTAGGCGTGAGATGTGAGGCTTGAGGCAAAGTCTCACGGGACCTAAATTTTTTAATATATACACTAAGCGTACACATATATTATATTAAAAAAAGAAAGATTATTAATCAATAATCACATTGAGCACACACATATATTATAAATACATATACACACATATATATACATATATTATATTATACATATAAAATAGAGGATGAAAAGCACAATGAGCACACATATAACAATGCACACAGGCAACACACACATTCATTATATAAAAAAATAAAAATCAGAAAAAAAAAAAAAAGGCAGAGAGATGATAGTGCAAGGAAGAGGTATGAGGCAGTTAAAACCCTACCCAAAATTTGGGTTTGGGAGTAGAAAAAATCAAAATAATCCTCTGAGGCGAGCCTTTTAAAACATTGGTAAAGATAAAGACCATGGTTTTGGTCTCTCAATGGATCCTTGGGATTTCATGCAGAAAAGAGTTGGTATTTGTGGGGCAAATACAATTGCCTCACGAGAAATTTTTAATTGTGACGGGAATATAAGTGGTACACCACGTGTTTTAATAGAAGTGGTGAGAAATTTTATTTTTTAAGTTATTAACTTTTTAGCACACATATCCCACTATTTGCATGATAACACATGATGTACTATCCCGTGTACCGATCACTCTGAAAAATCTCTCATTGCCTCAAGGGAAATAAGTTATCATCTAACCTTGAGAATATATATTAATTAACTGACTACCTAGCATATTGGCCTAATAACGATTACTTCCCCATGTCTCCTCCAAATAAAAAAGTTAACAATTTGGATGTAAACAATACCAATCTTAACTTTGAATCTCAGTGCATTGTTACTAATGACTCGTACATAAACTTATTGGGCATGTTTGAGACTGTTTATCAAAGAGTTAAAAGTCTTTTTCAACAACAAAAATACTTCTGAACACGTTTGGAAGAAAGGGTAAAAGCGTTTTTGAGATGCAGTAGTACTTTGTGAATTAAAGCACATGTTTTTCCATGAAGCATAAAAAAATCTAGAAGTACTTTATATAGAAGTAGTCTCAAACAAGCCCTTAGTCTCGTAATTGAACACTTTTTGCCACTTAATGAATGTGTAATTTTAGCTACTAGCAAGCTATAGCCTAATCTTGCTGATTGATGTCAATTAGCTTTTCATATCAACTTCAATGGCCATACAACAAGCTTGGAAAATTGAATCCGGTCATTTTTTGTGGACTCCAAATTCCAATATTTTCCAGTGCACATTGTCTCAAGATGGACACACACACACACACACACACATATATATATTAAAACAAATTAGGAAGTACTGAAGCCATGTATAGAGTCAATCATAGGAAGAAAAAAGAATTGCTTGGAACATTCTTAAGATATGATGCATAAGCAACAAAGCTAATTAATCATTTGAGTTTATAATTAATGGAACATATAATCCTAATTGTGTGGAATACAATAAGATTAAGATAACTAACAAAATACGCGAAGATCTCATATATGCATACGATTGAATCATTGATGCATACCTCAACCAAGATTTTAGGACGCAGTAGTGATTATATTTAAGCAATGTAGCTAAGAAAGGCAACGAATTCTTTAATAATTTACAACTAAACAAATCATATGTCAACTAACACACACACACACACACACACATATATGGTTTTTGATTCATCACAAGAATGATATATTGTTGCATGCATCCATACAATACATATAAATACAAAAAAGGGATTTGATTGGGGAGAATCATACTATTTTGTATAATGAGAATACACACACATCAGTTTCAGCAATATACGTACGGTAGTACTTACGTCCAGAGTATGAGACTCATGCAAGGATGTACGTTTGTATGATATAATCACAATGTATGGTGCACCCATGGGGAGCACTAAATCGCACAGAATCACAAAAGACCCCAAAACTAATTAAAAAAAAAAAAAAAAGAAAGAGAGTATATATAAACACAAACACACAAGCAAGATAGACATTTAATATTAAGGACAAAAGAGAAACAGAGTTTTGTCTGATTGATTGTGAGGAAGAGAGAGAAAGTAGTCTTGCCATCAAATATAGAGAGTGGTCATAGATGTAATCAAGTAAAAGGTACCCACCTCTACCAAATTAAATAAGTTCTTCATCGATATCACCCAGTGCACTATTAAGCTATAGGCTGTAGCCTGCAGTAACTAAAGTTCGATCTTGCAAATTAGGGTTGTTTGGGATTAGGGTTTTATGATGAAATTGAGATCTCAGTCTCAGATTTTAGTCAGAATTTTGAATCATATAAATTTCAAATTAATTAACCTACCTCCTCCATCTATCCTTTCAGTTTGAATTCCCTTTTTCAAGAATTGTTTAAAACTTATTTAACATGAAGCTGATCATGAATTACTATGACCAGGTATATATCTACAGCAGCAGATTGAGAGTAGCTACCATATGTATATAGTACTTGACGATCGGGTAACAAATTAAAAAGAAAAAGAAAATTTACCATTTAATAATCTTCAGAAGGCCAAAGTAACTATTTAAGAAGTGATCTGCTTCAGAGTACCCTCATCGTTAATTGCCTTAAGCTGACCGTTCCTCTTCTTCTTCTTCTTCTTCTTGTACGGAATCCCTCTTGCTTTAGCCTGACACTCCTTCACTTCACGTAAGTAAACCCGAATAGCTCCATTCCCAAAAGGGTTTGTCTCCGGAGACCCTCCATGCTCCTCGTAGGCAGCACGGAGGCGTCCGATCAGCGCGTCCAGACTGCCCCATGCCTGCCTGAGGGGGCAGGTGCACGGGGCAGGCGGGTCAGGCTGCCCAAAGAAGACGCAACCGTGTAAGTGAACCTTAGTCTTTCCGAACTGATCCAAGTAGCGGAGGAAATCGAGGACGTGGTTGCAGTTGCAATGAGAGAGTGAGACTGGAGGTGATTGGTTCTTCAAGTACTGGCCGAAAGTGTTCCAGTCGCGGCGTTTCTGAGACTCGTATCGGCTGAGGGGTTGAGGTGCTTTCTGCTGCTGCGAAGTGGATCGTGATGAGGAGGAGGAGGAGCCCTCGATGGGAGTGGAATCTTTTCTTCGATGACTGTGATCATGATGGGGTGCAGACATGATATTATTGTGGTGGTGGTTGTGGAGGAATTCCTGTGTATTTTTGGCAAGAAATAGAGAAATGACAAGGGGTAAAAAAAGGAAGCAAATGGAGAAAAAGAAGGAAGCAAATGGAAGAAAGAATGAATGGCGTATGGGTTATAGTGCAATGAAAGAAAGATGAAAATCACATCTTGATGAAGTCTATTGAGAGGACTTGACATGGGCCCTATGAAGGTGCTTTATGTTCCTCTTTTTCTCCCCCCTTCTCCACGACTCTCTCTCTCTCTCTCTCTGAGGTTGATTTTGACACTATTAGCACTAACTATATTTTATTTATGCTAATGTAGTATACAGTGATATAAAGTACTACTCATCCAAAATAAAACAAAATATTAGCTACAGATCACTATATAGTAATGCTAATATGATATGCCATCATCCATGCAATGATTACCATTTTCATATTGAATTCACATTGTAATCACTAATCACATATCATATTTATGGACCCAGGTTAATTACACACAAATATATCTACATACATATGTGAACAAAAATGAGAATTTACTCTTTTTATTTTATTTTATATAATCTAGCACAAGGAAAAATAAATAAAAATTAATTACCGTTCCTCGGATGCCTTACTATATATCAACTGTAGTTAGTACTAATTAGAATTGACTAATATTCGACACAAACACGACATAACATGATTCAGACACGATATGACATGACTAGATTTACCATCTTTAATGAGCAGTAAATGCACTTAGCAAACACAAATAAAAGGTTATAGAATTATTAAAGAGCTAGAGATAGTTTAGTATTGTGAAAAATTATTACCAGCATGATTCATGATTTATATATTCACCCCACTAATAAAGTTATATCCTGTAGTGACCAATAATGTACATACGTATCCTTATTTTATTTTGGATACTGTTTTTTTTACCCAGAAATTTGTGTTTTCACATTCGTTTTTATTTTGGATACTGTTTTTTTTTTTTTTACCCAGAAATTTATGTTTTCACATTCGTTGCTTGGCAATGTTAGCTTCAGTTTCTTTATCTTGCTTCTTTTTCCAAGATTTTACTCGAATGGGCATAAAATGGCCATGGGAAGATTAGAGATATGCTCAAATCCTGCGTTGCAAAATTAGAGATATGCTCTAATGTCAGCTGGTGTTTGCGTAATGACAAATTTTCCTGATGATCATGCAGGTACGCTCGGAAAGTAAATTAAGGTAACTTTTTTTTTTAACTGGTTCTATTTGAAAAATGACTGTCTGAAAGACTGAATCCTCTCATCAAGACTCGAGGTAAATTCAAGAGAACATTACGACTTTCTGCTTTTGCTGCAGCAGTTAAGAACATTACGACTTTCCAAAGTTTTACTCACAAACTCCTAAACCTAGTACTAAATAGGGGTACTTTTTATATTACAAATCATGAGTCTTGTACCCATAATTTTGAAATTAACCCAGAAAGAATAGGGTGTATAAAGAGTGAGTTATCAGTGAACTGTTTAGCTGAGTACTTGCTCCTTGATAATTGGGCATTCGAAAAGTCGTGCGTTAGCTTCAGTGACTAACTACTAAATAAGTAAGTCTTCGAAAAATCGTGTGTTGGTTACAGTGAATAACTACTAAATAAGTAACCCTTCGAAAAATCATGCATTGGCTCTTGTAACAAATTATTGAATATCGATCAAGCTCTCAAAAAGTCGTCCGTTAGTTTTCGATGCAGAAATTGGTTTTCCTTGTGATCCTATGTGGGGCCACTTGTGGGGGGTGTGTTGGAGATGGAATCTCACATGTATCATATGACAAACAATCAATACTTAGGAGTTTTCACTTCTAAATCACTGCTGAGATATTTTGAGATAAAATCAAACATCTAGTAATAAGTGGTTAACTTAGAACAATATTGGTGATGTTGGTAGTGGATCATGTTAGGCCTGAAAGGTTTAAGTTAAAATATGATTGCCTGGAACTTGCCCTGTGCTATGGGCCACAGGAGCTTATACATAGCTCAACTCTTGCGTCTAATTATCTAAAAGTGAATTATGTATGTTATCTATATATCAGAGTTGAGATAAGTGTTTTTTACTATGGAGAAGATGATTAATAAGAGAAGATGATTAATAAATCACAGTTCTGGATTACATCATATGAAGAATACACAAATTGGGTGTGGACTTAGTATTCTTATATCTAGGGTTTGAAACTCTAGATTTTGGAGACATCTTTGAGAGATGAGTAAGGGTCTATGACCAACATACTTTTATAGATCTTTGAGAGATGAGTGAGGTAACAGATTCGAACAAATTAGAGGATGACGATTCAACCTTCTATTAAACTACTCTAATTTACAGAGGGCAAATAAGTTCAAGAGTTAAGAACAAACACAGTGTTTTGACTAACTAATCTAAACTCAAGAACCGGCATGAATCAAAGACAGAAAATTAAAAAAAAAAAAGGTATACTTAAGTCTAAATTAATTCTTTCAGGAAAATTATGGGAAAGAAAAAAGAAATCTTTTGCGATGATTATATGCATATAAAGAGTAAAGATTACGAGACACTAAAAAAGATGGGATGACGCAAATTTTGGAGACATCTTTGAGAGATGGGTCCAACCCTAAGTTTATGTTCCAAATGCATAATGCTGCTTGGAGTGCGGACACAGGCTTTATGGGAACAACTTGTATGGCATTCTAGATTTTTTACAGGGGAGCTGCTATCGACATTTTAAAAATACTATTTTGATTTTGCAGCCCTAAATAACTGAAAAAAAATGAGAAAAAAAATGTAAAATGATTTTTTGTTGTGGAGTTTTAATAACAATTCTTTACATATATATGATGGCTCTTAATTTTGCTTATTCATATTATACTTACTATGAACATAACTTTGCATGATTTAGGTAGTAATTGAGGTGTGTGTATATACACACATATATATATACATATATATATATATATATATATATATTGAACAATATGAACTTCCTAGAGACAGAGAAACACACTCTCAAAGGTCTCATCATCGTCACGATCGATGATCAAATTTGTTAAATACTTCCGACACATTACGTTCTGGAATTAATATTACAATTATGTGAGGTTGATTGTATATGGATGGGTCTTATTATGTTTACCAACGTTGGATATAGTGTACACCTGTATAAAAGTACACAGATCAGCGACCCTAAACACAGGGTGGACCGAGTCATCTAGCTAGGCTAGGAGATGGTTTGGTGAAATAAGCTAGGGTTAAGTTGTTTCTTAGACGACTAGAGAACATACTTGACCCGAACACTCAAAAGCTATTTTGTTAAAACAAATCCAATTGAGTTATCTCCAAATTTTGAGTTGTATTATTAAACCCTAAATCTTAAAGGACAATCCTTAAAATTTCATCATATCAGCTACCCAGGGCACTTTTTGGTCTTCACATTCTGATGGAGGTTTCAAATTATGGCTCATTTGGGATTTAAATTTAGAGAGTTTTAACGAAAAGTTATCAGTACTGTTCACTTTAACGACAAATCATATTTTTACATTAAAAAGTTAATCATGGTACTATTTGTTTTATCAATTATTTTATCGTTATCGTTAAAATTTAAAATTTACAATTCATTTTCATTAATTTTTTTTTTTAAATTAATGAACTTTTCTTTTTGGCTCTGACATATATTAATCAAAACCTTTATGCTGCTTTCAGCTTTTTTTGGCCAAAGATGGTGGTTACTAAAGGCAAACAAAACTTTCTCAGCAACCAAAATTTTACATGGACATGCAAATACTGTTTACCCTTTGGATTATATCTTTAGGGATTTTGGTGTGCCTTTTGCAGGTCCCTTTGACAATTGACAGCTTACATACTCTACCTATATTTTTCAAACAAAACTATCGTGTGACTACTTCACCAGTGCGCTTTACAGAGATCCACTGAGACCATCATTCTACATACTGTCAAATAAAAGACTGATATATATATATATATAAAAGTTTTTAAGGAAAGAGATCTTCATTTTAAAAAAAAAATAGGAATATCTTTTTTATTATTAGATTTAACTTTAATGAAATTCAATAGTTAAGATTTTGTGGCCTGTGATTTAATCTCAACCATAGAATTTCATTAAATCCAAATTTAATAGTCAAAAGGGTGTCTCCATTTTTTTTTTTTAAATGGGGATCTCTTTCCTTAAAGGGTATATATATATATATGAATCCTTGATCCTCATTTTTCAAAAAAAATGAAGACACCCCATTGACCGTTAGATTTGATTTTAATGAAATTATGTGGCCTATGATTTAATCACAATCACAAAATTTCAATAAAGCCAATCCAACGGTCAAGAGTGTGCTCTTATTTTATTTTTTAAATAAAGATCCCTCTTGCTAAAGGGCATACATACTATATATATATATATATATATATATATTAAGAAGTCGCTGGTTGGTGCAGTTGGTAAAGTTTTTCTTTTAATCTGAGGAAGAAACTGGACGATCTACCATGTTCTTTGAGTGTCCAAAAGAACTTGATTTTAGATTATTTGCTGTAAAAACATAAAATTTTATTCTTTCATGCAAATAGATCTTCAGTCTCTTTCAACCTTCCTTTTTGTAATGAATAATTGGTTCACACTGTTGTCTTGTCTGGTCAAAGTAATAAGTTTTCTGAAGATGAAGATATTATTACATCTCTCTTGAGATTGTACCAAACGTAACAGGTTTTGTCATATATATCCTCACCAAATGACCAAACAGAATCACATGTACTCAAGGGCGGAGTTAGGAAAGTTTATAGGCGTGGATTAATTTTCTTTTTCGGTTCGACGTAGGCTAATTTTATCAAAAAAGGTTGTGCTAATTTCAAATTAGACAACTTTAGCTTATGAATTGACATGTTTTTTTGTACTTCCAAAATTTACCCTAGGCTATAGCCCACCCTCATCATACTCTGCATCTGCCCTTGCATGCAATTTCATCGGTAATACAAATAACAGACATTTAGA